TATACTAATATTTATTTTAATTTATAGAAGAGTTAAATATTACAGATAATTAATAAGTATTTTTAATTTAAATATATTTTAAAAGAAAATTTTCATATTTAATTTTTATTTATTAAAATTTATTTATTGTTAAATTCTAATTCTATAAATATTTATTTAATAAGCATTACTATATATAAAGTAAATTGTATATTACCATTAGTAATTTGTAATTATTAAATAAATAAATACTTTTTATTATAATAAATATTTAAATATTTATTAATTTTTTTATTTTGTTATAAAATGGTTTATATTTAGAGATAACAATTTTTTAATTTAATTAACTTTTTATTTCTATATAATTTAGGAAAAACAATAAATCCATTAATAAATGATTTTTCATTATATTATCATTATATTGGGAGTGTTGCTAGTAAAAATCACATTACAGATCATATGATTTATTATATTTCATAACTTGATTTTTACTGGCAACATTTCTAATATGTATCAAATTTTTTCATTTTCAATAGCATTTGCTTTATCATATTTTGAAAATACTATGATGATGATGTAAGTTTCTTACAGATTATCATACTTGATATAAGAAAGCATTTTTCAATAAGTATTTTTATTGAAAATTTGAGAATATCAAAAAAAAAAATTATTTTTTTATCTAATCAAAATAAAAGATTATTTTTAATTATCAAATATTATAACCTTGTGAAAAAGGTATCTTAATTCAAAATTTAATAATTACTCAAAACTGAAATTCCAAATACCTTCACAAAATGTTGTTGCTAAAGCTGATATTTATTTATAAATTAGTATTATGTTTAAATAATATAAATGCTTTTTTAATTCATTGATATTATTAAAGGTTTGTAATTTTGAAGTTACATCAAATACTTCTAAATAGTAAAATAATGAAAAGGATAAAGTTAAAACTCTAAGTCATAGCTAAAGGGAAAATTAATAATCTGTGATGTATATAATATGAAATGAAATGAAATCAACAATTTATTTAGTCGATCAAATATAAACATAATGCTTATTTATTAGAATATGAGTTGGAATAACATAGTAGACTTTCTATTTTATCACATGAATTTTGTAAATCATTTTTCAATTTTATCATATAAAACAAATATTGGTACAAGTCATTATCTTGATTTATTTTAAATAATTATACATATTAATACATTCTCAAATTTTACTAATAAATGTATTATACTCTAATTTTTAAAAATATCTATTTTTATTCAAATTGAATTATTATTGATACCTTTTAATATGTAGTAATATTTTAATTTAATGTAATTTTATGCATTTTTTTAATATAAACTATGAATAAATTTTAAAATAATTATATTTATAGACATTACAAATTAATAAAAATTAATTCTGTATATTTGCATTTATGTTTTCAATAAAATCAATATATTGAAGAATTTTAATATGTATCTTCTATATAAAATTAAAATCAAATATAATTTCTGTAGTAAAATTGTAAATAATCCAACATATATATTAGCTGGAAAAGTGATTTTGTATTCATATGAAAGGAAAATGATTCCTATCCAAATATTTAATATCATATGAATTTAATTACTGATTGCTAAATAAATTCGATCAACACAATTATTTGTAATTCAAACTAAATTCTTGAATTTGACTACTAATATCTTAAAATCTGGTAAATGATTTCGATTTTAAAATTAGGGTATATTATCACCTTTCAAAAGAATATAAGAATATTTATTTAGCATACATGCATGTTGAAAAATTAATAATTATATGACTAATATCAAAACCTATCACAAAATATAATTATATTTCTTATCAACAAGTGCTTTTATAAATAATCTTAAAGTATTATTATAGAATTCTGTTTAAGACTTTTAATTGAATGAAACTAATAAAACAATTCCTAAAAAGAGAATGAATAAATATATTGTTAATTTATTAAAAAAAAAGCTAAAAAAATTCTATACTAAGAAACTTATTTTTTATCCTGTAAAAAAATTATTGATTAACATATTTGCCTTATTGCATATTTTTTTTAATAAACTATTACTGAAAAAGTCAATTAAAAATAAAATAAATCAGTTGTATTATATAAGAATAAATTACTAGCAAATAAAAATAATTATAATGTATAGTAATATCATTTTATGCAAAATTTTGACATACTAGTAACTTTTAAATTACCTTTTTACATTCAAATTACTTTACAAAATGTTTAAAAAAGACCTCAAGTGTCGAAATATGCATTTAGTTTTCGTCAATAAATTTTTTTCGTCACTATTAAATTAAAATATAACTTGAGCATCCTAGTCATATCAAATCCCAAATTTGGTGGCCAAATTCCTTTGGGCGACTAGTCACATGATCTCAGCATGAATTATAAAAATTATAATTCTGACTAACATTAAAACTTAAATTTACTATTCATAAGCACGAAAATTTTTTTTATTAAAATTATTTAAAAATACTAAATATCATGAAATATTGTACTTGGTATTATTCTATATCTTTTATAACATTTAACTGCATATTCTGCTTGTTTTGCATTCAATCCTTTTCGGTATTCATCCATATATCTATATAATTTTCTTGCAAATGCTCTAATTTGAGATAATGGAACTTGATTTAAAGCAGTTGGTACAACTGTTGTAGACTAGCCCAAGTGCAATCATAATATTTACGAGAATATTTCTTGGATGCACCCAAATACATCTCAATGAAGATTAATTCAAGATAAAATTTCAGATAAAAAATTACTTTATGGCTTCATTCTTTAATAACTTCTTAAATCATTCCTTTTTGAGCAAGAAACTTGGGTTGATTTTCAAGAATGAGTATCATTGGATTCATTAACATGTCAATATTCTTTTAAACCGATGTTCCTCTAAAATTTATCTTATACTCTTAGGTTTTCTCCGAAATGTGTGGTCAAAATAATCGTTAGGAAAATTCATATTTTGAACTTGTCCATTAAATATTGTATTTCTCATTTGGGGTGTATTTCCGCTAGGGTTTACATTCATGCGTGATGCAACTAGTGCGTCAGGTGCAAAGCACCATGTGATGTGAAATTATCAAATGCAAAAACATCAATAGTATTTGGGTGAGTTGCTTCAAATATGGTAATTGCGCGTTGAACTAACTGTATTTTTTATTAAAATTAAATAAAAAATGTATTCATTAAAGTTAACATTAAATAAAAAAATACATTTAATATTCGTTAAAATTATAAATTTGATATTTATCAAAATTAATAAAAATCATATTTATTAAAGTTAAAATTACGTGATCAACTAGCTTTTAAACAGTTCACCAACTATCATAATTCTTTTCAGAATTCATCATAACTCGAGTTTCATGTGGAATTTTATCTTCAATTTCAGAAAGTCTTTGTTTCTTATTTAGCTGTAACTGACCAATAGTTTCACAAATTAAAATCACTAACATTAATAGCATATCCTTGCTTTTTTTTTGCAAAGGCTGTTCATGATCGGGAGCCCATCCAGAACTTTTTCCATCATTAGAATGAAATGTGGTTTTGTCATGGATAACCAAAATGTGAAGTTGTTCGTCGTATTGCAAATCAGGATTAATTTGAGTTTCCATTTTGTCACCCTCAAAAATTAGCATTAATGTTTGATAACTGCACTTACAAAGAAAAATTTAAATGCATTGTGACTTGATTGACATAACTATGCATATAATACGGATACTTACACTTTCATATTTTTTAAAAATGTTTTTCGATATTCTACTACATCTTCATGTTCATGACAATTCACATAATCTCCCTTTGGCCAATTTCTTGCAGTAGTTTCGCTAATAATTATAATGAATGAATATTATTTAATAATTAAATATAAAGTATTGAAAAATTATCTTATTGTTGTTTTTTTTCAATTTCAAGTGATGAAAAAATAATATTCGTAATATGATTTATGAAATCAGCAATATTAAACTAATTTTTTTCCCGTAAATAAGAAACAACCTGCATTTGAACATTCTCATCATCAAGTAAGCTTTTTACTTTACAATGCTTTCCTCTCTTAGAAAATGTGACAGTTTCTCCATTTTGCAGCATGTGGCTCCATAAACGAAGACATCAGGCAAACCATGACCCTTTTTTAAGTTAATGTGATATACTGAGACTGGCCTTTAATTTAGAATTTTGAAATTTAAGATATCGCATATACTGCAATATAGCAGTTAATATTAATTTATGTAAATTCTTTTCTTTTAGCTGAACTTCAAGAGAATTAATTACTTGTTGGGAATTATGAATTAAATCTTGATCATTTTCAAATTCAGATTCTTCACTTCACTTTTTTCTTCTGATTTTGTAGTGGAAAAAAAATAATCAATTGTTTGACCATTTTTTTCAGCGTTCTTTTTTGCTTGAGCATAGCGTCTATAGCGTCTGCGTTTAGTTCTTTCAGAATTCCCTATATAAGTTGATCTGATAATTTTGCATTTGAGTCATTAATCTTTGAAATAAATCTTCTTGATTAAGATTTAAATCATCATCTTCTCACATAATTTCGTCATCACTTTCCACATTATGAATATTATCTTCCCATGAACTTTCTTCATTATCTTTCGTATTAAAATTTGTTTTAATTTCTTTAATATGTTTATTTCGCTTTATTTCTTATGATAAAAATTTTGATTTTAAAAATGGGAAAATTTAAAATTTTTTATACAAGATTAATGGCCAAATTGAAAATATTATATATATCTATATGATTTTTTGCTAAAATAAAATGCATATAACTTTTTATATATTAATCCGATTTGAAAATTTATATCATACTTTTGTAGCTTTTAATTCAATAATCTATGCGACGTGTAAAATTAATCATTGTAACAATGACGAAATTCATAGATCATTATGCATTTGATATAATTGTAGAATATTTTTGAATTGTAATTTAATAAAAGTATAAGTCATTTTGTTTTAATCTACTTGACTACTTTATTATTTAAGTCATTTATTTTCCAAAATTTTTTTCGCGATCAATATGAAAGCCATTTTTTTTTTGAATCTCTTTCATCATCTTCTAGTATGTCGTCCTTTTCTATTATTAATAAAAATAAAATTAACTTTTTTTAATTTATTTTTAACTTCGACGATGTACTACTACGAAGAAGAGAATCGACGATAAATCGAAAGACAAACTCTAAATAATTCAGTAACAAATCAAAATAAGAACCTACTATAAAAAAAAATCCAAGACAAAATTAATATAAATTTTTATTCATTAAGTCTAAGTAAGTCAGTGGTGTGCAGTTTTACAAAATAAAACTAACTATTGTATTGAAGAATAACTCGTAATTAATCTTTTATTACTATAATTATAAGCATCTTCGATGTAAAAAATTTAATAACTTTGCAAAAACATCCTAAATATTTGCCACATTCATATAATAGAAAGCTTTTTTTTAAAAAAAAAGTTATATTTCAAACATCAATAAAGTTATACTTTGTCACAGCATCTAAAATTAAAAAAATTCTTTGGATTCTTAAAAGCTATTAAAAGCTATATTAATAATGTACAAGTTATTAAATTTTAAATATTTTAACCTTCTATATCAGTTCAAATAACCGACATTATATCGTCAAAAACATTTTTGTATATATGATCAAAATATATACATGCAAAATTTTTTTTATATTCACAGTAAAACAGCGCGAACGGTTATAATCCTTTCCATTTTTATTTAATTATTTTTTTGTTTGGTTTTCAAACAAAAAAAATTTGCAAAAGGAATGATAATTTTTATTTATATATTCAAAGTATTGTTACATTTAATAACTATATGTATTACTTGTATCGAAAGACATATTGATTTTATTAAATAAACATTTATTATTAGTTTTTTTTTTATTTTATTAGTTTATTAGCATTTATTATTATTTTACATCATTTTATTTTTAGCATTTATTATTAGCGTTTCTATATATGTATTGCTTATTATTTTATTACTATTATTAATTATAAG